CTCTCTCTCTCTCTCTCTCTCTCTCTCTCTCTCTCTCTCTCTCTCTCTCTCTCTCTCTCTCTCTCTCTCTCTCGCGCGCGCGCGCGCGCTCGCTCACTCGCGCGAGCCTTCGTGCACACCAAAAAGGAAGCATGACTGTCCAGACTGTTTCATCGGAGGTTGAACCCCGACAGTCTGCCCAAGATGCATCTGTGTGCGTGTTGTGACGTCATGTTCGCTTTACACAACTCCATAAAAAAAGGTTCAACTATGCCAGACTGAACCACGCACCGATTCCAAGATGCACGTAGCACCGTTGCACTTAGCACTCAGCACGGATCCCACGAACCAATCGCCAATGCACATAGCACGGAGTAGCACGAAGTAGCACAAATGCACCCAGTAGCACCAAGTAGCATGAAAGTGGGACCGAAGCACCGAACCAAACACAACCAAGCACGAAGTACCAAGCACTGAGAGAAAGAAAGGGAGAGGGAGAGAGAGAGACGGGGGAGAGAGAAAGAGGGAGAGGGAGATCCACAGAGAGAGAGAGAGGGTTACAGTAGGCAGGCCGTAGGCAGGTTGCATGAATAGTGTAGGCTGTAGGTAGGTCGTCTAACCGAACCAAACACAACCAAGCACGAAGTACCAAGCACTGAGAGAAAGAAAGGGAGAGGGAGAGAGAGAGAGGGGGGAGAGAGAAAGAGGGAGAGGGAGATTCACACAGAGAGAGAGAGTGTTACAGTAGGCAGGCCGTAGGCAGGTTGCATGGATCGTGTAGGCTGTAGGTAGGTCGCCTAGGTGGGCGTAGGCAAGTCAGCAGGTCGCGTAGGCAAGACCGTAGGGCACAAAGTACCAAGAACGAGGTACGTAGGGCAGTTTGTAGCATAGGGAATTCTGTCGCGTAGGGCAGTTTGTCACGTAGGGCAGTAGTTTGTCGAGTACGGTAGTAGTTTCTCGCGTAGGGCAGTCGTTGCGCGAAGTCGGACAGCCCTCGTTCAACGTGAGCAGGGCCATGGCACCGCCCCGCAACGGGCCCTCTTCTCAACGGGCGTGCCGATCCGGGCCGACGGCCCGGATTTCCGCACGATCTTAACACTTTCCAGGCCATCCGACAAAGCGGACGGTCTGGATTGCCGCGCGATCTTAGTCTTGAAGTCTTAAAGTCTTAAGATCGCGCAGAAATCCGGGCCGTCGGCCAGTAGTCCGCGGGCGGCCCGGATCGGCCAAATGTTGCGCCAAATAGCGATTTCTATAAGTGTAGCGATGTTCCTTTTCCTGACATGTTCTTTCTGCTGCGCCTACCGGCTACTGCTGCCTACCAGGCCGTCCACCTGTCCTTGCCCAGGTAGCCTTCCAATGGACTCTGTTCCCTTTCCACCAAGATTCCGCTCCTCAAGTTGCGCTTTGTCTTTGAATCATGTTCAGCCATGGTCGACGATTCCAATTATTCCCTCTCTTAACGAGTTCCTATTCGTTTGCCCTCCAAGCTCCCTATTTTTTTTGCCCTCCGAGCTCCCTCTTTATTTGCCCTCCGTCCCCTTCCTATGAGGTCCTTCCCCTCATGTTGCGCTTGTCTTTATGTCACGTACAAACGGTATCGATGATCTCAATCCTTCCCTCACTAAGCCAGCACCTTCTCTTGTCTTTTTTTTTTTCTTTTTTAACTGCACCTGCTCTTTTCCCTTTTAATTCTTAGAGCCGGTGGAAGATTTTTGAGCTCTTGATCTCGTGATGTTTTAGATGCAAACCAGACAATGGCTGTGAAGTACTTACTCATATATGTGGTAAAATTAGAAAAAAAATCAAAAAATTATATAAGAATCTTACCAGGAGATAGAGTGAAAGTGGAACTTAGTCCTTATGATCTTACGAAAGGAAGAATAACATACCATTTTCGTTCCTAAAATACGGGGCATAAGTCATATATTCAGCAGAGCGTCTCTCTTGCCAAGGTTGAATATCTTTTTTGAGTTTACTTAAGTCTAATCCATCAGGACCCAGCGAGCGGGCAGGTCCCTGAGCCAATTCATGATTGATCAGATAACTGACAAGGAGATTTCATCTGGTCCCGCCCTCATTTCGTTGTCCCTTTCAGATGCTCAAAACATTCTCAGGGATCAAGAATTTTCGGCTCTACTTTTTTCTCTTCTCCGTTTTTAAAATTAAGAAAAAAAAAATACAGCTGTCTTCTCCTCATACAGGGGACAGTTGGATTCTGTTTTTCCCTACCCTATTTTCTTCTCTCTTACCTCACTCTAGCTACCCGTATCCATACCTCACCCGCAAGCCCTACCAAGCTGACTACAGAACAGGAAGAAACCACCTACATATGGAAGCAGGGCGAAACTTAAATTTACTAGCCAGAGCCAAGCTATCCTAAGGTTATGGGTCTATGGCTACCTACCTCTGCTCTGTGCGGGGAGCAGTACCTCCTAACACCTGGCGCGGGCTGGAAAGAACCATTTACTTCCACAACCAGCCAGGAGGCCCAAGCCAACAGTCTCCGCTGGGGTATCTGCAGCATTTTCCCAGGAGGCCGCGGGGGCCGAAAGGACAACGTTGGGTATCGAACCCACGACCTCCTGCAGATCAATTTCTGCCGACAGTCTCCGCTGGGGTATCCGCAGCATTTTCCCAGGAGGCCGCGGGTGCCACTTATGTGCTAAACCAACTGAGCTAGCCTGCTTGGGCAATTTTCACCTCTACTGTTCATTGCGTAATGGTAAACCTTCGGACTTCGTTTTACCTGCAGATCAATTTCTGCATTTAACAATGGGCGTCAATCTCGAGGAATCTCTTCCATTACCCATCGTCAGATAGCGGGGGCTACATGAAGACAAAAGGAATAGCAACCCTTCGATTGTAGAGTTGGCCTTTTTTCACTTCATTAGTTCGCGCGGAACAGTGAGGTCCTCAGACTGTTTCCTTTTTCTTCACAGAGCGATTGGCAGAGGACAGAGGGCAGGCCCCCAAGAGGGCCGATTTGTCTTTTTTGCAGTCGCACTGCCACTCCCTGGAGGATTTGTCATCTCTTGCCAGTTCGCCCAGTTCTCTTCTTTTTTCTTTTTTTTTTTGTTGTGCCCTTCGGGACATCCGTTAAAATTGCTCAATGATACAGCTCAGTCGGTAGACCCATGAGCTGTTGAAACACAGACCGGGACATCCGTTAAAATTGCTCAATGATACAGCTCAGTCGGTTGACCCATGAGCTGTTGAAACACAGACCCGAGTTTGGAATCCAGATGCAATCAGCTGAAGAGAAATAATTAAAATAAACAAGTGGAGCAATACAGAGTAGGTTCGCTAGCATCACACGCGACAGAATGACACACCCCGCCATGCTCTAGCAGGGGGGGGACTTTTGTTTGTGCGGGCATTGTCTGCACTGCCCGCACCGCAGGCAGCTCGCTAGTTCAACTTGAAGACCCTACCTTCTTTCCCATAGCTCTCCACAGTTTGACGATAGTCCATGTCGTGAATGTCTTCCCACAGCCAGGTCCACCGGTCAAGATAAGAATTGGTGCGGAGGCTGCAGCCACCACAGACTCCCTCTGTGCTCTTGATAGCTTCATGCCCGATGCACTTTCAACATTTGTAACCTGCACACCGCAAAGCAGAGAAAATAAGGTGACATTAGCAAGCCCAACAACAAAGTCGGCATCCAATAAATGCCGAAATTCACCAAGAGGAATTGAATAAAGGCCGTATTAAACCACTAGAACCTCTGCCAGTGTTGGGAAATTAGTAAATACTAAATTTAAAATTATGTCATTTAGCCTGTTCCCGAAGAATTCGGGGGTGGGACCCAGGTGCGAGGCTACGCCCGCTTAGCCCCTACGGGGCCCTATCTGCAACAAGGTCGGCCGCCCTAAGTGAAGGCAGGCACGACAGGCCCTTCGGGCCTCATTCTTCAGGGTACCCCGCAACGGGGAAATTCAGACAGTTGCATTGCGCCAGTTGGTTGAATGAATCCAGGCCCTGGGCCGCCTGTGTGAATGAATGTGAAGCAGGCCCTGGGCTGGATACGGGTACCAGGCCAAACACAG